AACATTAAAAGTCACACAACTTGATTAGTCTGATAAAAGAATAAACATCGAATTCATATAGATTGATATTTTCATATTTTATCTTCGTAGTGATTTTATCGAGCATTCTCTTTATTAGTGATTTTATCGAGCATTCTCTTTATTAGTGATTTTATCGAGTATTACTGTTATTAGTGCTTTCATGTAAAAAATAATTTAATGGAGACAAGACAAAAAATGACATGTGTTTATTAGTGTAATTTTCTTTCTGAAATTATGTTGTATATATATATATATATTTTTAATTGTGATGTATATGAGATTTATGGTCAATCTGAAAGGTTCGGGGTAAATATTTATTATTGAAAAAATATGTTTTTATTTTATTTGATGATTATAACTGAATTGCGATGATATTGGAGGTTAGAACATGATAACCTTTCTTATAAAAGTATCTAAGATGGTCATAAAGTTTCAAATCCTTAAGACATTTTGTATCCCAACAACCAGTATAAAAAATCATTTTGAATCTCCCTAAACTTTTAGGTATCCCGAAAAGCCCAAATTAAAAAAAAAAATTACATGCAAGCACTGCGTTTCAAATCCGCGCACTCAAGGTACCAACTTCTCGTCACCAACTTACACCACTGGGCCATTTCATCACTCATCGATAACATTCAATCTTATAAAATATTATACGTTTTTGTTTTACCTAATAACACACGCGGGGACCGCAAACTTGCTGACGTGGACACGCTGAGGAGCTTCAAAAGTGTACTATCATTATATAGATTGGTATAAAGAATTTTTCATTACAAAATAAATATTATTTTTAATTTTTAATACAAAATTTATAAATTTTATATGCAATTTTATTGGTTAAAATATGGTTAAGTCTATAGGTAATTTTGATTTTATATAGGAAATATGTAAAATTAATTATTTCCTTAATCTGTATGCACAACTCTAAAATAACACTTATGATGAAACATAGGAAATAATATTTTGAAGTAATTAATAAAAAATAATTAGTAATTAATTAGTGAAATAAAACAACTAATCTGACAAAAATTTATAAGGATTGAACAAAGAAATCAGAATCTGAAAAACCAAATTGAACTTTATATGAAATAATACCAAAGCTAAACCAAAACTAGTAAAATACTCAAAATAATCCAAAATTTTAATATCCAAAAAAAACCTAGAACCAGTATGAACCAAATATGCAAGATATCCAAAATATTCAAACATTTAATTATATATATATATATATATATTTAAATGTATCAATTCTTTTTTTTTATCTAATATATAAGAAATAGCTAAAACACCATAAATGTCCAAAATTATTCAAATATCCAAATGTAAATATTTTCAAATACTCAAAAAATTGTAAAATTCTTAAATACCTACATGTTTTCATTCAAATTCAAACATGACTCATTTTCATATTAGTTTTAGATAATTGGTATATAATATTATTTATATGTTGATGACTTTACTCTATATTTGGGTTTTTATCGAGTATTAATTTATAGAGGTTATACTGTACTTTTTCCTTCTGAAAATGAAAAATAAAATAAGTCGTAACCTAAAATTATTTTAACTAAAAAAGTTACGCAATTATTCAATAAAATTCTAATCAAATATTAACTTATTTCTATAGTATATGTAATTTTATATCTAAAATATTAATTATATTTAGTTTAACCAGTATTTTGAAATTAAGTCGAATCGAACTGTTAAACCACTTGTTACTTTATTCAGTAATGAATTGTTTTTAAAACATATTTGATTAAATTAAAATAATAATAATAATAATAATAATAATAATAATAATAATAATAATAATAATAATAATAATAATAATAATAATAATAATAATAATAATAATATGTTAAACACGTCAAAACTAGTGATTTGGTTCAATATCAAAACTTATTTTCTTATTTAAATTAAAATTGAAATTGAAAAACTATAAAAACCATTATTATTTTAATTTTTCTTAATCAAAACCGCAGATAAATTTTCACTAATCAAACACTATTTTGTACTGCTTATTTTATCAAAACTGCACTCATTTTGCAATCCGCATAAACCGATATTTTCTGAGAGATATGAGCATTTGGTGGAATCGGTGAACTACACTTGCTTCTGGATAGATGTGTGGGACATAGGGCTCGTGGTACCTTCTACCCACCCTTCCTCTTCTGCTCGTGGTACCTTCTACCCACACACCAATTCCACACCGTTTATAATATCAACTTAGGTGTTTTCCTACACCATGTGCAGTAAAAAAAAAGAAGCTTAAATTATATTTAATAATAAATTTTATTAATATTATGTCAAGTATTATTCTGAATTTTTGTTATATTAAACTTATGAACACAAATTTTTGTTATGTTGAAGTTATGTCAAATGTTATTTGGTAAATATGTGATAGTTAAAATTGTGTGATTTTGACTCTAGTTTTTTTGTTATAACTGGTATGTTAACGTTACATAAAAATTAAAGTAATTTATAAATACTAAATTATTTAATTTTTGCCAATAATGATATAAGAAACTATATAAAATTGATATTTAATAGTAGCTTACAGAATTAAAAGTTACAATAACTAAAAACATATAAAAAATTTAAATTAATATTGCATCAATAATAATTTACAATTTAATATTTTTTGTGAGAAAATATTAATAAAGTTTGTTGATAATTCTGTCGATGAATTCTGCTGAAGTTGCTCGAGACGGCTCAAGTCTGCAGATGAAGTCTAGTGATGAAGTATGTTGCATCAGATTCAGATTTGAAATTTTGAAATCTAAAAAATCTGCATATAAAAAATGTTAAAAATATATGAAAATGTGAAAATATTTTTACATCTAAAACAAAAACAAAAACAAAACCCATATAATCACATTGAGTCTAAATATATAAACATAAAAAATCTAATGATCTAAGTTTGTACATAGAGAAAGATGAATCATAAAAATATTCAAATTTGTAAGCTAAACTAATAAGCAAGAGAATGATTAATAGAACATAGTGTTCAGAATTTTAATCATAGCCTGCGTGTTCCGTTCCATTTGATCTACTGTAGAGCGGGTGCGGATCGATCGATTGGAAAAAATTAAATTGTGTATGTGGGTCAAATGTATTTTATGCAGGACGGATGCGGTTTAGTCTAATTTAAATCGTGGGAACCTGCTAACCCACAAAAATAGAAAAAAGACTTTTTAAAAAATGTTTATTTTTGTGAAAATATACTAAAATTCCTTATAAATAATTATTTAAAAAAATATTATTATTTATATTATTTTATAAAAAATTAATCAAATAATTATATTTATTATTTAATAATTATCAGGGGTCTTGTGGGTTATACGCAAAATTAAGCAGAGAGGGTGCGGAAAAATATATATTCTCTTTTCAGATAAGGCGGGTCAAAATTTTGAGTCGAAGAAATGACTCAATCCACTGCGGGGTGGGTTGAGGGGTGGGTTGAGCATTTGTTGATTTGCCTATCTCATCATGTATTTGTTGATTATTTTCCTTAATATACGGTGTAGAAGACTTCATGAAAAAGTCTAATGGTAATTTTCTTTTAAAAAATCTAAAAATCCAACATATAACCCTAAACACACAAACGTTGGTTGAAAATATGTTACCAAACTCTAAAAATGAAGACTTACCTTCTATATATGAGCTCGAACTGGTGACCGTGTTTTAGTAAAAAAATGTGGGGAATTCTTTGTTTCTTAAATTTTATACCAGTTAAATTGAATATTTAGTCAAATTATTATCAAATGGATCCCACTTTATTCCTCAAAATTCCCCAAAGATGAATAAATTTATAAATGGAATTATTCCTCCCTAATTTTGATGGGAAAAAAATGAACAAATTTTTGTTCATTCTTTCGTTCATTTTTTCCATTCATTCAAGAGTCACCAATTAAAGCCTCGATCTTCTATTTCATAACTATTAACTATTATTAGATTTCAGTTTATATGATGTAAAATTGTTTTAGTTACATGATTTCAATTATTTTCCTTCAATTTTTAAAATATTTTTCTAAATTAATTAGAAATACATGAATATATTTGTATGAGAAGTATTCTCAAAAGACTTTATTTATGGTTTATGGTTTAAGTATTCTCAAATATTAAAATCATTAAATTGTTTATGGTTTTTTTGTTTAGTCATAAAGAATTAACTATAGTTTCATTATTGTTATGTTACTTTTGTATTTGATTGAATTTCAGATATATATATATATATATATATATATATATATATTCAATATATATTTGAGTTCAAACTCAGATTTTGTGTCATGTTGTCAAATTGACCAATTACAATAGGTTCTTTGACACTATTAATAACTTTTATTAAAGATATTATATGTAAGTAACAGATATTGTAAATAAAATCTAAACAAGAGGTTGTTTATTAATTGATAATTTTTCAATTATTATATTTTAAATTTAATTTATCATTCTATATCTGAAAAAGTGTTTTTAGTCCAAAATTAGAGTTAAAAATGCGCTACTTTAGTTATCTATTTTAAAAACATTGTTTTAGTAAAACATTTTTAATTATTTTATTAAATATCATTAAAATATTTTTTTTTAAAATTCTTATTTAAAATTTATTTTTATTTATTAGTGTTAATGATATTTAAGTATTTTACAACTATATTTAAAATCGAATAATAAGCATTGAATGGTAAATAAAAATTATGATTTTTTTATTTATATCTAAAAGTATTTAAAATAAAAAAATCTATTAAATTTTAAATATTATATTTTTATGAATGTCAAAGAAATTCTTATTATTAAAAATTATATACATATATATATTATATTTATTTTTTCATAACCGTAAAGGTTTTCTAGACCTAAGTAGTATTTACCACAAGACCCACAAAATCTACATTTTCTTACTCACAGCTATAATTTTTTAATAAAAAAATTGAGGCTCTAGTTAAAAAGGAATATGGGTCACTCTGGAGTTTTTAAGGGAGATGGGCGAAGGGAGTATTAATAAGGGGTATTATCGGGTGTTAAAAAGGGGATTGTCAAACCAACTGAGTTAGAATCAGCTAACTTCCAAAAATATGTATTAATTATTATAAAATAACTTATAATTTTATAGTACTGAGAAATTTAAATAAGGGTGAAATTTTATATCCGCAAAAAAAAGAAGTAATATTAGTATACGATAGAGAAAATTTATTATATAGAGGGAGGAAAAAATAATAGTGCGAGTTACAAATAATTGAAATAGATTATATATAAAAAAATGAAAAGTAAGATTTAGCGGACTCCACATAATTTAGGTAGACACGAAAACGAAAACGTCAATTTTCTGTGAGTGAATTCTTGACAATCATATTTCTCACATTTATAACATTAGTGTAATATTTTATGTTAGTGCCCTGTTTTAGTAATTGAAATTTAATGACTGGATTTAGTTATATCTCCCTATAAATACGATAGAGCTGAAACCCAAACTATTCACAAAGCTTTATAAACACGAACTCAAAGCGACGCAAGAAAAACAAGAAATGTAATTCTTGAAACTTCGGAAATCCCTTTTTGTTATAATTTCGAACTAAATCATGTCTTACTGTCTTTCTTATTATGAAACAGGGAAAATGGTAGCAGGAACGTGTTGAAGCCTATGGACTCTGAGCAACTAAGAGAGTACGGACATCGAATGGTGGATTTCGTTGCCGATTATTACAAAACCATCGAATCATTCCCTGTCCGTAGCCAAGTTCAGGTCACTGTCTTTTCTCTGTTAACATCAGTTTGATGCGTGTGTGTGTGAGTTTAATCTGTTCGATGTTGTGTACAACTCGGATTGTGAGAGTTAGGCTTGAGAAACTTTCATACTTTCTGAACAAGTTTGAAGCTCTCTGGTTTATGCACAATCTTGATATATTACTTTTCTCTCTGATACAGCCTGGTTATCTTCATAACCTTTTGCCTGATTCAGCACCAGACCACCCTGATACGCTGGAACAAGTTCTTGAGGGTGAATACCCACTTCCAGCTTTTTTGGATAATTTCTGATACTTTTTTTCGTTGAGCATAAACAGATCTGATGTGAGTTTTGTTATTTGCAGATGTTAAAACGAAGATATTGCCTGGAGTAACGCACTGGCAGAGCCCAAGTTTCTTTGCTTTTTACCCTTCTAACAGCAGCGTTGCTGGGTTCTTGGGTGATATATTGAGTACGGGTCTTGGAATTGTTGGTTTTAGTTGGATAACTTCTCCTGCTGCCACTGAGCTCGAAATAATCGTTCTTGATTGGCTTGCAAAACTTCTCAACCTACCGGAGCAGTTTTTATCCGAAGGTTATATAAAAAAACATCAAACCTTGTCATAACAATCCTTTTGCTTCTAGCTAAGTGTTGGTTAAGTTGTATTGTGTTAAGTTCGGGTTATCATGAATTTCCAATTTAAACCAATTGAGAATTGGTGAACAGAAAAAACTACTTGTGCTACTCCCAATGTGAAAGTTCATGTTATTATATGCTTTTAACTTAAACCAATTAAAAATTAGTGGATTGGTTCAAATATCTTTATGTATTATTTATGTCTCATCGAGTTCGATGTGGAGTTCATGGTATCACACACATTCTTTAGAGATTAAGCTCAAGAACTATACTAATCTCGACATAATCTAAAAATTTTGTAGGAAATGGAGGTGGAGTTATCCAAGGGTCAGCTAGTGAATCGGTTCATGTTGCTATGACTGCCGCACGCGATAAGGTCTTAAGAAGGGTTGGTAAGAACGCGCTTGGGAAGCTCGTTGTGTACTCCTCTGACCAGACACATTCATCTTTACAGAAAGCTTGCCAGGTGAATATTTTGCAGATTTGATCAAAGAAGTGTTGTGAGAAGAAACTAACTTTGTTTCTCTGCTGGTTTATGTATGTGACAGATAGCCGGAATCCATCCGGAGAATTGTAGGGTGCTGAAAGCAGATTCCTCTACAAATTATACTCTGCGTCCAGAATTGCTTCAAGAAGCCGTTTCTCGGGATCTTGAAGCTGGATTGATTCCATTCTTCTTAGGTGCTAATGTAAGCACTAGCCAACCTGTTACGTAGTTACCCTCTTGAAGATTAGGTTCTCTGAAAGCTTCTTTTGTTAATTCCAGGTTGGAACCACTTCTTCAGGCGCAGTTGATCCATTAGCTTCACTAGGAAAGATCGCAAACGTGATAATATTCTTTTTTATTATTATTATTATTTTGATGTCATTTTCATAGAGAAATTAAGGCATAGAAACTGACGCTATTTCTCTTTATTGCATTCTCATCAGAGAAATGAGATGTGGTTTCACGTGGACGCAGCGTACGCTGGAAGTGCATGTATATGTCCAGAGTATAGACAGTACATCGACGGAGTTGAAACTGCAGACTCTTTTAACATGAATGCTCACAAATGGCTCCTCACCAATTTTGATTGTTCCCTACTTTGGGTGAAGGTACATATGATATGCATATGCCCTCTTTCTAGTCTCACTTTCTCTAATAAGCGCAGGCCCTTTACAATTTGTCTGGTCATGGTCCCCTCTTCAATCTCTTTATCATTGTGGATATTTGTTATACACATAACACATTGTATAAAGGGGATAAATGCAGGTGCAGTAATTAGCATATAACAAATTCAGTAGTTAGCTGAGTGGCAAATTTAAGCTCACATATATGTACTTTCTAAATGATTCATTCTAAGATTGATAAGAATTTTAGTATTTTACATAACATCGAATATGGTATCAGAGATTGTATAAACACTTGTTCATTTAATTTTCTGAAAATCAATTTTTCAAGAAAAAGTCAATCAACACCAGTTCATTTAATTTTCTGTAATATGGAAACAAAATTAATTTGATACGCAGGATCAGTCTACTCTCACTGAAGCGTTTTCAACAAATCCAGAGTATCTACAAAACAAGGCCTCTCAAGCAAACTTGGTTGTTGATTACAAAGATTGGCAAATCGCTCTCTCACGAAGATTCAGGTTATTTCTCTCTCAGGAGTACATCTGCATACATATATACTGATATTGTGTGTTTTAACAGATCATTGAAACTATGGATGGTTTTAAGACTCTATGGAGCTGAGACCTTGAAGAACTATATAAGAAACCATATTAAACTGGCTACAGTTTTCGAACAACTTGTCTCTCAAGATCCTAACTTTGAGGTTATCACTCCTCGGATCTTTTCTCTGGTCTGCTTCCGTATGGTTCCTGTCGATAATGATGAAAAGAAGTGTAATGATCGAAACCGGGAGCTTCTAGAGGCAGTGAACTCTTCAGGGAAACTCTTTATTATTCACACTGTAAGTACTAACATCTCTCTCTCTCTCTTTCTTTTGTTCTTCTTTCATCTTAGTTGGAAATGTTCTCATATATATATATATATCGATTTGCGTCGGAAACAGGCTCTCTCGGGGAAAATCTTTCTACGTTTTTCCATAGGAGCGCCATTGACAGAGGAGAAGCACATAAAAGAGGCATGGAAGGTTATCCAGGAGGAGGCATCATACTTGCTTCGCAAGTAAATACGATGAAAAAGTATGATATAATGAATAAAAATAAAATAAGCTTACCAATTTGGTTTGGTTTTGTTGTGGTTAACTATGTGTAACCAATGACAAGAAGCATCCTGTAAGCATATATAAAAATAATCTATTTAAGTTTTTATCAGACATTTTAGTATTGAAACCCAAACATGTAAATCTGTTTGTGCTACTCTTCTAAAAATACGTTTTATTCAGTCGTCTAATCGTTGCATAGACAGTAGGCTTAACCAAATCAAACTGTCTAAATGTTTTTATACTATTATAATAAATATTAGGGTTAATAAGTACTATAGTCAGTCTCTTTGTGAGTGATCTCCTCCACGTGATTGTTAACCATCTTCATCCTCTGTTTTTTAAGTAAACAACCATAGTAAGTTAAAACCAGAAGACAGGAAAGAATAAGTGCTTGATCATATAACAGCTATTGAACCAACCTCTGTATCACTCTTGGAAGCAGTTTCTTGCTTCTCCGGAACATGGCTTACGCGCAGTGGCGGAGCCATAAATTTTTTGTACCGGAATCGGAATAAGAAATCAAAAACAAACTTTGTAAACCACAAAAAATTACAAATGTACTCAGTTCACTCAAACTTAAAACATCTTTAAAACAGTTTCATTGGCTATAGCTTCAAATATTTTTTCAATAAAAAAAAAAAGAAAAGACAATTACTCAGATATTGATCGCCGGTGCCATTCGTAATACTCTCTTGACGATTTTTATTCATGAAAAAACATCTTTCAGCGGTTGCAGTAATAGCATGCAAAATCAAATACAACTTTAGAAACTTTTAAACCAAAGATTGAAAAATATTTTTTATTTATTTCCAGCATCATCCGCGATAGAGTGATAAAATAAACAAAGGAACAGCGTCTAACAAAAAAAGATATAGAAAAACAGCCTGAAGTTTAACTAAAAAACAATTGTGAAGTATGAGCTCTGAGTTCACCTCGTCTTGTTTTTAAAAGAGAAAGAAACAATTTTTTTGAAAGGAATATCTTTTTTAAGTTTATTATTTTAAAATGTTTCTATATTATAAATTAGGCTCAATGAAATCAATATACCAATTGTTGAAAGAAATTAGGTAATCGTGCAATGTTTTAAATTGATTTGCATATTGTGTATATGCATAGTGCAAAATGACATTATTACCCCTCAAGGAAGCTGACAGTTTCTGATAGGCATATTACCTTCTTGTTGCATTCAACTATTTTGACGTCTTGTGAATAACTTTTAATTGGATGGTTGACATACTAAATATATATTAAAAAAAATTTATATGTCTTTCACTAAAGGAAAAGATAGAAAAAAGCCAAAAAACATAAGAGATTTATTTTGCCTTTCGTTAAAACCTTCATTTTTCTAGTGTTTTTAGTGAAAGGTGAAAATTTATTTTCATGGTGATTCATTAAACCATTTCTTACAGATTGGAGTATTAATTAGAAGCTTTTGTAAACCCATGTTTTTGTTTGTATTGCTGTGTCGAACCACTTATATTAGTTGTATGAGATAGATCTACATTAGTCTGATAGAATTGAACACTTAGACGATGAAAAAAGAGTGAAATCGTTAAAACAAAATCAGAGGCAGTTAAAATTTTTAACAGAATAAAAAAAATCAAAGGCGCTTGTGACGTAGAACTCAAGCCTATATAGGTTATAACTGAAGCGGACACCATCCAAACTACCGAATTCCCTTGTACATCTCATTGGGAATCTCAAATAATATACAAATGTTGTTATTGTTAACAAGCTATTTATATATAAATGTGAATTCAATATCTGATTAATACTCACGAATATATATCAGGCCAAAGTATAATATACCTTCATATCACAGATACACAAATTATTTTATGGATATTACCATCATAACCTCAATTATATATCTGGTTATATGATTTTGTATCCAGTTTCTTCTTTTAGTATACAATTAAGGCTCATTTGTCTTATTATCCCATCTCATATAATAAATCAAATTTAAAGCATAATTTTTAATCCGATTTTAAAACGCATTCAATTAAAGATACACAAAATTATTTCCAGCTATTATCGATTTAATCTCAATTATCTATATGTTATCTGTTTACAATTTGGACTCATTAAAATTACACACCAAGTCTTATAATAAATCATTTTAAAAGTTTTTTAATACGGTTATAATACCTTCATATCACAGATAAAAAAATATTTTATAGATATTACTGTCATAATCTCAATTATGTATTATGTATATGGTTATATGATTTTGTATCCTGTTTATTTTTTGGGTACAAATTAAGACTCACTTGTCTTATTACGCCATCTCATATAATAAATTAAGTTTGAAACATAATTTTTAGTCCGATTCTAAACATATTCAGTTACAGTTACACAAAATTATTTGTAGCTGTTATCGTCTTAATCTCGATTATCTATCTATTATCTGGTCACAATTTCCACTCATAAAAAAATATTGTAGTTATTGTGGTGAATCAAGACTAGTCTAAGATATATATGTGACTTATGAATTACTTAGTAATTAACAGACATAACAAATTTATGGTTGACAAAATATTTGAATCAGATCAAAGGCAGCTTCAGTAAATCAAAAAAAAAAAAAATCTGGATTAGATCAAAGTTAGCAAATTTATGGTTAACAAAAAGATTATCTGTTCGTTAGTCTTACTTGCCATCCTTCCGTTAATCTCCGTCGCCGTCACCCCCATTACTCCCTCTGTTTCATTATAAGTGTCACTCTACAGCTGTGCACACGGATTAAGAAAACAATTAATTTTACATATTTCCTATATAAAAACACAGTTACCCATACACCTAACCATATTTTAACCAATAGAAAAACAAATTACATAATAAATTAATAAATTTTGCATTGAAAACCGAAAACGACACTTATTTTGTAACGCAAAAAATTCTCTACAACGACACTTAATATGAAACGGAGGGAGTATTAAATTTCATCGAGTGCTCCTTAATGCCTTATCTTCGTCTTGTTTCTGATCTCAAAGAGACTACACAAAAAATCAGAATAAAAAACAATACATTATCAGATCAGACCAAAATAATGAAAATTGGTTGTAATTAGTGTTTATGACTTTCCAAAAATTCGAAAAAGAATATGACTTTCCAGAAACCAACAAAAAGCTTTCTCAAAAGAGAGATCTATAAAAAATGAATCAAGAACATGAGAGGATTGCATTATTACCAAAGAGACTGAGCTGCTAGAAAGACACTTCACAGCTATTTTCTTCCCATCGTGAAGCTTTCCCTAAAGACATCATAATTGCAGACAATCAAATAAAGAACAAGAAACATTTGCATCAAAAAAGATTAAGACAGAACAATTTTATCGAAAGAAAAGAGAAGATAATAAAAGTGATGAGGGCGTTTAGAACCAGGACTATGATACTTTTGACTCCTGGGTTTTTCATAAGTGATAAAGTAATGGGAGTTAATGTTTCAAAGAAATTCATCATTAATTTAAGCGCGTGCTTCACTGGAAAAATAAAGGTTTGTGTCAGTCATGTGGCTGCACCTATTTCACGGTCGAATAGGGGTAACGATGGTATTACATAATTTATGAACGATACAATCAGACAATATCCATTTTCCTAATTAACACATTTTCTTTGGTCACCCGATGCAAATTCCCTATAAATTATCCAGTAAGTTGTAGGTGGAAAGGAGAGGCATTCCCTCCTTCTACAGCTTAAGTTGAATTTTTGATTAGTTTGGCTGGCCTTGACCCCCAAAAAAAAGATTAGTTTGACTGGTGTAAAATTGTTTGGAAAGTAATAAACCGGATAAAATTTTATGGATAATTAAGACCGGAACTATTAACTCAGAGATAAACAAGTTTGTGATTTTTAGCTTAGAGAGAAATATGTTTGTAATTTTTAGTTTAGAGAGAAATAGGTTTGCAATTTTTAATCAGGAGATATTTAACAAAAAATTATAGTTCGATATATATTTGATGATATATGATAATTTTCTTGGAGAAATAGTACATTAACCCTAATAAACATTATGAAGCTTAAAAAATAAACATTAGGGTTAATGTACTATTTCTCCATGAAAATTATGGTTGACAAAATATTCGAATCAGATTCGAATATATATTTGATGATGTATGATAATTTTCATGAAGCTGCCTTTGATCTGATTCAAATATATATTTGATGATATATGATAATTTTCATAATCTTTCTATCTAAAACAATAATTATCTTCGTGGCGGCGATGGCAATTGAGAATTAGGGTTCACGATGGTTCGAGGATGGGATCCAGGGATTTTACGGTCACAAAGGATTCGGCAATCTGGGAATCTTCCGGAAAGATCTCGGGGATTACATAAATATTTAAAGAGTAAAGGGTCGCTCAAGGGTGTTATGAAAATAGATTTGGTTTCGGAGATTCTAGGATCTGATGAGATTTGGAGATTATTGCAGAACAAAGGGGAGATACGGAATCTTATAAGGAAGATCCATGATGCTAAAGGGAATCACTTTGCTCTCTTTAAAGCAAAGGTGGTTTTGGAATATATTGATACGATATTTGACTTGCGATTGGGTATCTTCGTATTATCTTTGAGATGTGGTATTATTGCCACATGATTTGGGATTGAGAGCTACGGTATTTGGTTTGATTATAAAAAAAAAGTGATATCGTTGTGTGTAGTATCTTCTTCATACGACTAATAGTTACAGTCTGTAACACAACTTCCTTTCATCCTTTTGGTGTTTCGGTAATGTCTCAGAGCCAGATGATTGGAAGAACATGAGAGAGCAAGATTGATGAGGGTAATCGGAAAAGGCTGAAGATTACGGTACCTCACTTCAACAACTCCGAGTTGATAAAGAGCTTTTCGAAGACTTTGGTTGGGAGATGCATGAATCCAGAGAAACAAAAAATGGATTCTCTCCTTGTCATGCTTCCTAAAATCTGGAAAATGGAAGATAGAGTCGTTGGCGTTGACTTGGGAATGGGAAGATTTCAGTTCCATTTTGAAAAGGAGGAGGATATTGTCACGGTTCTGGAGCTTTAACCATTCCATTTCGACTACTGGATGCTCTATTTGGGTAGGTGGCAACAAAGGAAGACATCAAAGTATCTTTTTTAAATCCCTTTTTGGATTAAGATTGGTGGTGTCCTAGGTGTGTTCTGGACTGTCGGGACTTTTCAAAGCATAGGTGATGCTATTGGTGAAACTACGGATGTGGATCTGGATTTTGGAAAGATTCGTATGGTGATGGATGGGTTTAAAGAGTTGGTGTTTGATACAATCGTGGATTTCAAGGGAGGTCAGTATTATGAAGATCTTGAGGCTCAAGTTTCTTTGACATATGACAAGCTATTTGGATATTGTGCTACATGCTATAGTTTTTGTCACCATGAGGACGTTTG